CTTTTCTTTTTCTTTATTTTTCCCCATTTTTTTCCCTCTTCCTGTTTTTTCCCCCTCTTTCCCCTTTTCCCCCCCTCCCATTACTCCTTTCCCAGGGTCACCATGGTGCAAATCCCAACTGAGCCCCATGCAAAGGACAACATTGGGAGGCTGATGTTCACCTGGTGTTGTTTTATTTTAATAATATTATTAATAAAGAAAGGAATAATTGGGTTTAAGTGGGAAAAGCCCCCAGGCACTTTCCCAGGACCAGGGAAATCATGGGCATAGATCCCGCATAGTTCGAGCTGGCGCTTTTCACGGAGACACTGGTGGGATTTTCCAAGGGGATATGAGGCAGGGGTGCAGCACAGGGATGTAAAATCTTGGAGATGGGGCTGCCGAAGGTCCTGCTCGYGTGGGAATTCGGGAAGCTCCCGCTGCAAGCCGGAGGGGGCCAGGATCCCCGAGGAGGAAAGGGCCAGGGATTAACAGAGGGCAGAGAGACAGGTCTGGTGCACAGGGGGTTAAATGGGGGGGGGTCCTTGTTTGGGGGACGGGAATGGGGGAGATCCACGAAGGAGAAGGTGTCCTGCCCTAGGGAGCGAGGGCTGCGCGGATGGGGATCGGTGCCGCTCTGCAGGGCGCATCCCGGCGGGATGCGGGAGGATAAATGAGCGCCGCGCCGCGTCCTCCCCTTCCTTCTTCTCTTCCTTCCTTCCTTCCGTCCGTCCTCCTTCCGTCCGTCCGTCCTTCCTTCCCGAGGCGGGATTAGCCAGCGATCCTTTTTTTTTTTTTACCCGGCTGGCGGCGGGGCTGGGCTGGGCTGGGACGGACAGAGGGACGGACAGACGGACGGGCGGACGGACAGAGCGCCGCGGGAGGACGAGCCGGGGGGGCAGCGGCGACCCCCCCTCCCCGGGCCCATGCGGAGCCGGAGCCGCGGCCGGAGGCCCCGCGTCCTGCCCAGGTCAGCGCCGGGTCCCCGGGAAGGGGCCGGGAAGTCGCCCCTCTTGGTGGGAGGCTGCGCGGGGCCGTCTGCATCCAGCCATATGCATCCATATCCATACCCGTATCCATATCCATACCCGTATCCATATCCATACCCGTATCCATATCCATACCAGTTCTTTCACCCCCCCATCTGCCTCTGTCTCACCTATATCATCTCTGCCTCCGCCTTATTTATATCCATATCATCTATATCTGCAACTGTATCTATATCTCTTTTATGTATCTATTCCACGACTATATCTATATCTCTTTTATATATCTATTCCTATATATATCTCCTTCTATATAGAGAGCTATCTTTTTATCTTTGTATCTCTATGTCTGTATCACTTATCTATGTATATCTGTATCTCTGTATCATCTATACCTGCATCTATATCCCTATTTCTTTACATGTACCTGTTTCTATTTATCTCTTTTTATATCTTTCTCTCTATATATCTATTTAGGTATATTTATATCTTTGTATCTCCATCTATTTTTCTCTATCTACAACTCTGTATCCTCTATATCTATACCTCTGTATCTCTATGTATCTCTATCCTCTATATTTCTCCTTATCTCGCTTTATATCATCTATATCATCTCTGTGGCCCATCTTTATCATGTATCTGTATTATCTATCCCTATATTATCTCTGTATCACCTCTATATCGTCTAGCTATGTCAGTTATACCTCTTTGTTTCTATATCTATTTATACCTATTTATTTCCATCTACTTTTGCTCCCAGTTTACATCCATAGGCCCTGATTCCAGCCACATTCTGGGGGGCTTTGTGTGTATTTTTTTTTGTGGGTTTTTTTTTTATTATTATTATTTGTTTCCCGTGTCTTTGCCATTCAGAGAAGGGCGAGGGGGGGATTTAAACGCACCGATCGCCTCCGTTCTTTGCCCTGGGCTCAACCACCTGCTCCCAATCCCACCCCGGGGCCATTTTTAGCAGCTCCCGGGGCCCTTCCCGGCCCTGGTTATTCCGGGAGCCGCGGCCGGGCTCTTCCCACACCAGGATTTCAGCGCACGATGCCGAGCTGGGAGAGCAGGGCTCTTTTAAATCCCTTTCCCATTACACCTACAGTGGGGAGAATTCAGCTTTCCTTGTATTTTTGGGCACCCCCCCACGCCGGGGTGAGGCTGCTTTGTGCCGTGCGGGAGCCTTCCTGCTCGCCCTGTTTTCCCATGAGTTTTCCCTGTTTCTGCTCGACCCCAGCGGCCTCCCCAGATGCAGAAGCGCCTGGAGAAGGCGACGCGCCAGCAAGCGGCAAGACGGCTTTTAAGCAACATAAATCTGATTATTTTATTCTTTTTTTCCCCCCCATTTTCCCTCTTTTTCTCCCCAGTTTGGGTTGTCTCATAGCATGAAAAAGCCGAGATATTTTTTCTTTTTTTTTTCCGGTTGAGCAGCACCGTTGAAAAGGCAGCAAAAGAGAGGGAAACAAAACAAAACAAAACAGCGGTTTGAGCGCTGGGATCTTTTGTTTTCGCTGCCCAACTGGCGCGGGAAAAGCCGCCGAGAAATGCGGATTCACGGGGAGAAAAGCAAGGCCAAAGCCGGAGAGGGCAGCTTGTAAATCTGTCCCCAAACAGAGCCTCAACCTCTCCGTTTTGCAAAAATTTCACCCATTTTGACCATCCTAAAGGGGCCAGATTTGCAAATTGGGGATGGTGTGGGCAGTGTCACTGCTGGAAAAAAAATATATATATATATAATGTATATATATATATATTTAAGAGGCCGAAACGGGCCTGAAAGACTCATTTTAGGGAGCTGCAAGGAGCTGCTTGGGCGATGCAGGATTGAGGCCGGGTTTGTGCCCACACCCAGCAAACGGGCACTTTATGGGCGTTTTTCCGGGGTGGGGAGCGGTGGAACCGGCCGAGGAGCCTGAACTGGGCAGGTCGGGAAGCTGCCGAGGAGCTGGGAGGGGATAAAACTTATGTAAAACAAGTCTGGTTTGGGACGTTGCTTCTCGCTGGGGTGCAGGTAACGTTTCGGGGCTGTTTTCCAGGCTTTTGGGGTTTTTTTTTTGGAGCGGGGGGGCAGGTGCAAGGAGATCAGGTGAGGTACCAGCCAAGCACTTCCAGTGTCACGGGATGCCTGGAAAAGGGATGTGAGGAGGGAAAAGCATCCGTGACTTCCCGGGGAAATCGGCCGGCATCCCTCGGCGCAGACAGCGGGCTGGGAGCAGCTGGGCACGCTGGTGTCCGGATGCRCTCTTGGAGCAGGACGGGGTGCTTGGGGCAGCGGGAAAGAAGCCMACTTTTCCCTGCTCGGGGCACAAGTGTTTCACAAAGTGCTTTTGGGGCGTTTTTGTTTGTTTTGTTTTGTGGGGTTTTTTTTTTTTCAATGATTATTGCAACACATTTTGCAAAATCGGTTTATTTTTTGCAAAATTTTTACAAAATTGCATCTGCAGCCCGTGAGCACGGGATGTTTGCAGCCGGCGTGGGGACATTTCGCAGGGTTTTTCCTCCTCTCTCCGCCAAGCCAGGCAGGGATCCAATCGGCCGTGGCATTTGGGGGAAGTTAATGATTTCTCCGCCTGCTCTTGCCTGGCCTTCCTCATTCCTTCTTCCTCCTCCCTCCGCCTGGCCCGGCTCTGCCCGCTGCCGGTGACACGGCACGCTTGCAAGGCTGGGGCTTAAGAGGATATGTGGATAGCGAGCAAGAGCAGAGACAGGTTTGGGTTGAGCCACGGGGCCAAAGCACCATGGATCAGCCGTGCAACCTTGCAAATYGGCCGTGCACGGGGCGAGCTGGACACGTAGCAGGGCAAAAGGGCCACGTACAGGGCGAGCTGTTTGTGCACTGGCCGTGCAAGGGCTGAATTGGCCGTGCAGCAGGGTGAATTAGCCATGTACGGGGCAAATTGGCCCCGCACAGGGTGAATTGGCCCAGCACAGGATGATTTGGTTGTGCTTGAGGAGGAATGGCCATGCACAGGGCAAGTTGGCCATGCAAGGGGAAAGCTGGAGGGCACCAGGGCAAATCGGCTGCACACAGAGTGAATTGGCCGTACACAGGGCAAATTGGTTGTCCAGGGGGCAAATTGGCCGTCCAGGGGGCAAATTGACCATGCATAGGGTGAATTTGTTGTGCACGAGGCAAATTGGCTGTGCTCAGGGCGAGTTGGCCATGCGTGGGGCGAGTTGGCCGTGCTGCAGGGCAAATGGGCCGTGCACAGGGCAAACTGGTTGTGCATGGGGCAAGCTGGCCATGCAACAGGGCAGTTTGGCCATGTATAGGGTGCATTGGTTGTGTGCAGGATGAATTGGTCGTGCGAGAAGTGAATTGGCCACACACAGGGCAAACTGGCCATGCACCAGGGCAAACTGGCCATGCACGGGGTGAATCGGTTGTGCGTGGGGCAAACTGGCTGTGCAACAGGGTGAATCTGTTGTGCAGGGGGAGAATTGGTTGTGCACAGGCTAAACTGGCAGTTTGCAAGGGGAACTGGCCGTGCTCTGGGCAAGTTGGCCACGTAACCAGGTGAACTGGCCTTGCACAGGGTGAACTGGTTGTGTATGGGGCAAACTGGTTGTTCACAGGGTGCATTGGCCATGTAACCTTGCAAATCAGCCGTGCCTGGGATGAACTGGCCATGCAGTGGGGCAAACCAGCCATGCATGGGGGGATTGGATATATGTGGGGGGAATTAGCCTTGCAGTGGGGTATACTGGCCATTCACAGGCCAACTGGGTATGTATGGGRTGAACTGGCTGTGCAATGGGGGGAGCTGCCCATGCACAGGGGCAATTGGCCTTGCACGGGGGSAATTGCCCATGTATTGGAGCAAACCAATGGTGCACGGGGCAAATTGGCTGTGCAGTGGGGTGAAGCGGCCGTGCCACGGGGCCAAGCGGCCCTGCCGGCCCCTCCGTGCAGGGTTGGGTGCATTAGGGGCCAGATCCCCCCCTTCTCACAGCCTTTCCCCCCCCGGCCCCACAGCAGAGCGGTGGGCAGGGGTCCCGGCGGTGCCCGCCCCTCGCCGGTGCCATGGCTTCGTCCCGCCGGCCGCCGGGCCCTGCACTAGGTGCCGGCAGCCCCACGGACGCCGAGGAGGAGCCCGGCGAAGCCTTCGCCTCAGAGGCCGGCAAGGAGGAGGAGGAAGAGGAGGAGGAGGCAGAGGCCGGTGGCGCCGCGGGGCTGCAGGCGCCTCCGTTGCACCGGTGCCCCGATGCCGGTAAGGTGCCGGCAGCCCTTCCCGTACCCGTGTCCTGGGATAATGCCGGAGTCCCGGCACCCACCGCCTTCCTCCCTGCTTGTGTCTCCGCAGCCGCCGCGACGCAGCCCCAGGCCGAGTAAGCAAGGCGCCCGCGGGGATCTTTCCTCCGTTTCGGGGTCTCTGGCACATCCTTGGGCAGCACCGGATCCATCCCACGGTGCTCTGGACCCTTTCCCGAAGGGGAACCCACCAGCAAAGGGAGAAGTYGCCCCATGGGATAAGGCAGGGCTGGCCGGCGCCCCAGCACTGATCCCAGGTTGGGGACCCCAGCCCGAGGATGGGGACCCAGCCAGGCACCCTGAACCCAAGGGTACAGACCCTGAAGTCCAAGATAGGGACCCCAACCATAGCGGAGGGTCCTGGACCAGGATGGATTTAGGGATCCTGAACCTAAAATGGGGACTTTGACTCCTGTGTAGGGTGCCGACCCCCACAGAGGCACCCTGAACCTCAAGGCATGGGCTCCAACCCCAGGGCAGGGACCCCAACCCCAGGGCCCCGACCCAAATGTAGGGACCCCAGCCCCAGAATAGGGATCCCARACTCCAGGATAGGGACTCTGGACACCAGGGTAGGGACCATGACCTCCCGATTAGGGATCCCAACCTCAGGATGGGGACTCTGAACCCCAACATCCACCTGCAGCCAGGAAGGCCGAAAAAAAAACCCTTTCTGGACACAAAGGAATGCAAATGTAGCTCATCCCTCCTTCCGTCAGGCTCTTCCCGGTGGTGAACAACGGCGAGGCCGGCTCYGGCTGCGAGAGTGAGAGCTGCCACCCAGGTGGGCCACCCCGGGGGACGATCCATCCCCGCGGGGCTCGGYGTGGGATTTGGGAGCTTTCCGTGCAAATCCCTGCCTGCCAGCCCCGTTTTGGGGCCGGAGCAGGGAGTTCCGCTCATTTTGCCCTCCTGACTCGGCAGGTGAGCGCTTCGAGTTCCCCGCCGTGGAGGAGGACGTGATCTACGACGACGTCCCCTGCGAGAACCTCGAGGCTGAGCAGGACGGTAGGGACYGACGTCGCTTTATGGATGGGGAAACTGAGGCACGTGGTGAGGGGGTAATCAAAAGCTTCTGAAACCTCCTTTCCCCAATTCCTGGGGCCTTATAAATCCCCAAAGGGCTCTCTCTCCAGCCCCACCTCTGCTTCCCGCCTCCCCCTTAAATCCCTGCTCCGAGCTGAGCTCCGGCCTGTCTGGAAGCTCCCACCAGAGCCGGATCAAATAATCCGCAGTCAGCGGCTGGGCGGCTGTATCCCGGCGGCAGCTCCTGCTCCAGGTGGGCCGGGAATTGGGAATGCCAGAGGCCCTGCGCAGCTGCGGCTCCCAAGGGCGCCGACACAGCCGTGTCCCCCAACGTGGGGTTAAATGCGACTCCCGGGATGCAGAGGAGCTTTGTTTTCGGTGCTTTCTTGATGGCTGAGCTGGGTTACAGCCCCAGCTGGCTGCRTTTATGTTTTCCTTCCATCCCTTCCTTGGGAAGAGGATGCATCCTCATGGAGCAGGATACTCCCAAGTGCAGCTTGCAGGGCACCTGCCAATAAACGCAAGGGGTAGGGAAGGAAAATCCCCCTAGCCAGTAAYGCGGTTTCCTGGCAGAAAATGCCCCCAGAAACCAAATTCCCAGGGGAAAWTCCCCCCGCTCCGTGTGCCGTGCCCCCCTGGAGCTGCTGCTGAGACCTGCGGGCCRCCCCGGCAGGGCCCGAGCGCAGCCTCCTCTATGAGGACGTGCAGCRGGGAGACGAGGGGCGGCGCGAGGCCGAGGAGCTGGGCTGGAGCTCCAGCGAGTTCGAGAGCTACAGCGAGGACTCGGGCGAGGAGGCCAAGCCGGAGGCCGAGCCCGTCAAGCACCGGGCCTCCTTCCAGCCCAAGGTAACGGTGACATTCCCGCGGCGGGGAGAAAAGACCAGCGCTTTGCAGCCCCTTCCCGTGGCGCGGCGCGGATGCCGCGTTGCTTTTTCCGCTCCTGGTGTGTTTAACACGGAGGTCGTGCGCGAGCGAGGGCGCTGCTGCTTCCCCACGCTCCTTTCCCCCGTATCCCGTCGCCGCCTTCSGATGGGGTTTCTCTTCCCGGTGCTTTTGGGCTGCTTAACCTGCCGCCTCTCTCTTCTCTGCCCTCTCCTCCGTGCTGCCGCTTCTGCTTTGCTTTGGGGGCCCAGCTTTCTCCAGACCTCCATAGGCTAAAGGAGAGATACGCCAGGACTAAGCGGGACATCCTGGCACTAAGAGTTGGGGGGAGAGACATGCAGGAGCTGAAGCACAAGTACGACTGGAAGGTACCTGCGGAGCCCTCCGCGCGCCGCCCTTCCCCATCCCCATCCCGGCCGGGCGCGGGGGACGCGCTCCCGGCGGGATCGCTGTCTGGAGGAGGAAGGGGCTATAGGAGCACGCGTGGCCGCTCGCGAGCCACTTTAGGGCTCTTTTGGGGTGTTTTTTTTYCCCCCTTTTATTATATGTTGTTGCTGGGGGACTAAGCGTGCCCAGCGCYGGCTTCTCGCTCTTTCCTCGCCTCCCCGCTCACTTCTTGCTRCCCGCTCGTGCCCGGCCTCTTCCTCGCCCGCTCCGCGTCCTGGTGCTRCCGGAGGGGTCTGGTCCCCGCTGGGGAGCCAGAGCTGGGAATYGCAAATGCCCCCCAAAAACAGGACCCTAGCGAGCGCTCTCGGCGAGCAAAACGCCCGCGGGCGCCTCCAGCCGCTCTCCCCACTCTCGGCAGATGACTCAGCTGATGAAGGCCGCCAAGAGCGGCACCAAGGACGGGCTGGAGAAGACCAAGATCGCCGTCATGAGGAAGGTGACCTTCCTGCAGCGGAAAGAGGTGCCAGGTGAGGGCAAGAGAGCGCCTGGGGCAAACGCCCCATCTGCCTCCACCAGCGAAAGCAAGGCTGCTTTTTCCTTTTTTTTYCCCCCCAAATAATTCGTGCATCTGTAAAGATCCGTATTTCCATATTCCTTTTAACTTTCATGCTAGCATTTTTTTTTTAATTGATATCTTTTTCTCCCCGTCCCGAGCAAGCGCGCTGCTGCCCGCGTGCCCGCTCCGCCCGTGCCCGGGCTGACGTTGCCCGTCCCTCCCCTGCCGAGGCCGGCCCGGCCGATCCTCCCTTTTCCAAAATTAGGGGAAGCAGAAAGGTCAGGGGGCCGCAGCCGCCTCGGCGCCCGCCCCGCGCCCGGCGCCCGCCCCGCGCCCGCCCGCATGGCAGCGGCCCCGGGGCGAAAGGGGAAGCGGCTCTAGCCCCATGCGGCATGTGGAGGAGACGGGCGGACGCCCACGGTGCCCTGGCCCGCTCGCCCTCCTCCTCCTCCGCTGCTTCGGCCTCGGGTAAGGGCAGCCGCGCTCCCCCTCTCTCCCCACTTGGATATTTTTTTTAATTATCCTTTTTTTYCCCCTGCTTTTTCCCCGCTGCTCGTGGCTTTGCTCTGTCTTTCCTGCTGGTGCCGGGGGCTGTTTGGGGGAGCCGGAGGGTATTGGGGGCTCGGGTGGCCTCGAGTCCCCCCCGCCACCGGCGCGAGCGCTCCATTCCCAGGGCTGACTCATGCAGCCGGTGTCCGGTGTCAGCTCGGAAAAGCAGCCGGCGCCGGGCGGCGGCGGCGCCTCCCCGGGCTCCCCGCTGGGGTTTTGCTGCAAAAAAAAAGGCTAATATCGGTGGGATTTATTTGCTCGTTCTTGGCGGGGGGGTCCGCTCGGCAGGTGACTCGGAGGAGGAGGACACGGGCTTCCTGGAGGTGACCGTTTCCGACATGAAGCACCCGCCGCCGGAGCTGAGCCCCATGCCCGCGGGGCTGAGCGCCCAGCAGGTCCGCGCGATGGGCGGCCGGGCACCGCGCGGCGCTTCCCCTTTGCGGGAATTGCGCAATTCCTTTCCCCCTCCTTCCCGCTTCCCCTTCCCGGGCGCGGGGCCGGCCGCGTGGGGTTCCCGCAGCGCCCACGTGCCCTTGCAGGTGGTGCGGCGGCACATCCTGGGCTCCATCGTGCAGAGCGAGAGGAGCTACGTGGACTCCTTGAAGCGCATCCTGCAGGTACAGCCTGCCCTCCGTGCCCCTTTTCCTTGGTGGGGGGCATGAAGACAATTTTTTGGTGCKGGGAGATAGGGTTGGCCAAGGCTGATGGCACCGCCTGTCCCGCAGGATTACAGGAACCCCTTGCTGGAGATGGAGCCCAAGGTGCTGAGCGCGAGGAAGTGCCAGCTGGTGTTCTTCCGGCTCAAGGAGATCCTGCAGTGCCACTCCATGTTCCAGATCGCCCTGGCCTCCCGTGTGGCTGAGTGGGACGCCACCGAGAAGATCGGGGACCTCTTTGTGGCCTCGGTAGGAAGACACAGTGGGCAGGTGTTTTCGGGATCTTCCATCCTACCAAGGTCCCATGACTACCTCCAAAACTGCATGARCCTCATGCACGTGTCCTCTCTCCACCCTGGTGCTGTGGGTGGACCAGTAGCTGGACCAGATCTTGGCCTTTGGGGAGCTGCTGCGCGTGTTTGTGTTGCAAGAGCAGCCCATGGGCAAGCAGCCTGGAAATCCAGAGGAGAAACCTCCAAAACCAGTGCCCACCTCTGCTGTCTCCCCGAGGTGGCTCTAACTGCCCCCCTTTTGATGCCCCCAGTTCTCCAAGTCAATGGTGCTGGACGTGTACAGCGATTACGTCAACAACTTCACTGCGGCCATGTCCCTCATCAAGAAGGCCTGTCTCACCAAGCCTGCCTTCCTGGAGTTCCTCAAGGTGGGTGCTCGCGCGTCTCCTCTGTTTGGGATTGGCATGGCTTTTCCGGGCTCTGTCTGCCTTCTGGGTGGTGGTGGGAGGGTTGGCAGGACCTGGTGGAAGGGGGAAGGTGATGTGGATGCCATCTCATCAGTCATCATCATCATGGCCCTGGATGGCGGGGAAGAGGAGGGAGGGATGAAGGTAGTATGAGGCTACCTTGTCCATCAGGATGAAGGTGGTGTGTGGACGCCCTCTCATCCTTAAATTGTCATCATCAGGGCATTGGGTGGGTAAGGAAGAGGCAGGAGGGATGAAGGTGGTATGGAGGCCATCTTGTCCATCCTCATCACCAGGTCCCTGGGTGGATCAGGAAGCCCCCAGGGTGCTGCTGGGGGCTAGAGCTCCTCAGGGTTGGACAACCATGGGTGCCTCCTCCTCTCCTGGCAGAAGCGGCAGATGGCCAGCGCTGACCGGGTCACGCTCTACGGGCTGATGGTGAAGCCCATCCAGCGGTTCCCGCAGTTCATCCTGCTGCTGCAGGTACGGCCAAGTTGAGTGCCACAGGAGAAGATCTCTCCCATTTGAGGTCAACGGCCTTCATCCTTGTCCCTGCTTCTTCATCCCAACGTTTTCCTGTCCAGGACATGCTGAAAAACACCCCCAAGGGCCACGCAGATCGGCTCTCCCTGCAGCTGGCCCTCACTGAGCTGGAGACGTTGGCTGAGAAGCTCAATGAGCAGAAGCGYTTGGCCGACCAGGTTGCTGAAATCCAGCAGCTGAGCAAGAGCCTCAGCGATCGCAGCGGCCTCAACAAGGTGGGCAGAACCTGGCCCGGGAGAAACCCTCCTCCTGCTCCCAAGGGAAAGCTGGAGCCTAGTGGCCACGGGATGGTTTGGGGAGGGTTTCAGCCCCCAGCTTCAGGAACTGATGTTGCCTCTTTGCTGCCGGCGCCGTCGTGTCCGCAGCTGCTGAGCTCGGGCCAGCGGCAGCTCCTGCTCTGCGAGACCTTGACTGAGACGGTCTACGGGGACCGGGGGCAGCTGCTCAARTCCAAGGAACGCAAGGTCTTCCTGCTCAACGACATGCTGGTCTGCGCCAACATCAACTTCAAGTAGGTTGGAGTGCCTTGAGACCCCCGGATGACAAACACCRGCCTTGACATGAAGCATTCGTTGTTTGGGGCATCTTCCTCACTGATGGGACTCCCAGGGGTTTCACAGGTGGCTTCGGACACCTCCTGATGTCCCAGCAGATATCTAATGGCTGGCATTTCAAAGCAGCTACCCCGATTGGCATTCAAGCAGCCATTTTGGGGCCATTCCTCCCATTTTACCTTGCCTTGGCCAACCCGCTCCATGCTTCAGGTCCAGGAGGAGCCGGCGCAATGGGGTTGGGTGGAGGAGGACTCTAGAAACAGCGCCGGGATCTCCTCTCCTCTCGTGTGCTGCAAAACAGCTCTTTGCAAAGCAGTGCAAATCCTCATGAAACCTTTTTTCCCCCCTTCTCGTTCTAGGCCTGTGAACTCCAGGTAGGACTCGAGTGTGACATGCTCCCATTTATTGCATTTTTGCTTGTTTTTTTGGCCGCCCAGAAGCTTGCAATCCAACAGCACAATCAAAACTAATCCGGAGGGGCTGCTCGCTTGGCTGGGGGTGCTGCATGGGGGCATTGCCCGGGTTATTTTGCTGATTTTTAAAGAATTGTTTCCTTTTATTGTACTTATTTTCCGTTTTTCGCCCGTGTCTTCTCCCTTGGCAGGGGGCAGCTGGAGATCAGCAGCCTGGTGCCGCTGGGCCCCAAGTATGTGGTGAAGTGGAGCACGGCACTGCCCCAGGTGCAGGTGGTAGAGGTGGGCCAGGAGAGCGGCGGCGGCCACGACAAGGACCACGCGGGCGGCCACGGTGGCCACAACGCCAGGAAGCACCCAGCTGCCAGCCAGGCCTCGCACAGTGAGTTGGCCACCGGCYGTTCCCGTGCCGCGGGCTCCTCGCRTCGTGCCCTTCATCCCTCCCGGCRCATGGAGCTTCCTGCYTCCTCCCACCGCTCGCTTTCCTTCCAAGATAAGGTCTACCTGGGGCCGCCACGGCTCTTCCAGGAGCTGCAGGACTTGCAGAAGGACCTGGCAGTGGTGGAGCAGATCACCTTGCTCATCAGCACACTCCACGGCACCTACCAGGTAGGTGCCAGCCTAGCTGATTTCCCCTCTTTTTTTTCCCCCCCCCTTTTTTTTTTTTTAATTGCAACCTGCAAACGGGGACTATGGAAGCCCTGGCTCCTCCACCCTAAGGTGGCCGCCCTGGTGAGTTGGTGATGGTTGGTTCCAGCAGCTCCCACAACCCACGGGAGCCCTCCAGGTGCCAGCACCTCTGCACTGGGTTGATCCTGGGGGGGCTGTTCCTCCTTTCCCAGAACCTGAACATGACGGTGGCGCAGGACTGGTGCTTGGCACTGCAGAGGATGATGAGGGTGAAGGAGGAGGAGATCCACTCGGCCAACAAGTGCCGCCTCCGCCTCCTGCTCCCTGGCAAGCCGGACAAGTGAGTGGGCGGCCGGTTCAACCCCATCCGCCTCCCGACCTCCCTGTCTCCGTCGGGTGACCYAGGTGCCTTCGCCCTGCCCCAGGTCCGGCCGGCCCATCAGCTTCATGGTGGTCTTCATCACGCCCAACCCGCTGAGCAAGATCGCCTGGGTCAACCGGCTGCACTTGGCCAAGATCGGGCTGCGTGAGTAACGGCGCCGAGTGACCCGCGTGTCGCGAGCGGCGCCGGTGCTCCCTGGCTGCACCCGCCTTGCCCGGCCTTCTCCTTCATGCTCCCTCCTCATCCTCATCCCTTTTTTTTACATTCATATATATATATACATATGAATGTTTTTTAAAAAAAAAAGAAGAATCGATAGAAATCATATTGGAACATGGGGCTCCCCTCCTCCCTGGGCATTTTTGGGGATTTTTTTCCTATTGGAAGCCTGGTGAGTGACCTTTAATTTCTTTTTTAAATGTCCAGAGCTGCAGGAGTTTGGAAACATAACTGTGGTTGTGTTCCTCTGATGCAGAGGAACGTGTTACAGCTCCTTTGCCTGCATATATAAATATGTGTATACATAGATATCTATCCGTATGTGTATGGCTATATATATATGCACATGCCTTTATATATTTATAGGTGCTCCCAGGAACTCCCATTCCCATGCTGTCCCCATTCCGAAACACGGATACCCACCGCACCCGGGTGTTTTTCCCGCCCCGCTGGGTGTTTTCCCCTTGCAAAGCCCCTCCAGCCGCTGCCTCTTCCCGCAGGGGAGGAGAACCAGCCCGGCTGGCTCTGTCCCGAGGAGGACAAGAAGAGCAAAGCGCCCTTCTGGTGCCCCATCCTGTCCTGCCACGTGCCCGCCTTCTCCTGCAAGGCCCTCGACCTGCAGGTGACACAAATCCCGGCACCTCCTGGCACGGAGGGGATGGAGCGGGGGCTTTGGGGGCGGGAAGGAGGGGATGGAGCGGGTATTTTTGGGGTAGGATGGAGCGGGTGCTTTGGGGGCAGGAAGGAGGGGATGGAGCGGGTGCTTTGGGGTGGGAAGGAGGGGATGGAGCGGGTGTTTTGGGGTGGGAAGGAGGGGATGGAGCAGGTGCTTTAGGAGGGGATGGAGCGGGTGTTTTTGGGGTGGGAAGGAGCGGAAGGAGCGGGTGCTTTGGGTGCAGGAAGGAGGGGATGGAGCGGGTGTTTTTGGGTGCAGGAAGGAGGGGATGGAGTGGGTGCTTTGGGAGGGGATGGAGCGGGTGCTTTGGGGCAGGAAGGAGGCGACAAAGCAGGCCTTTTGGGGATGAAACCCTGGAGAACAGGCCCGTTCCGGGGGTGCCGGGCTGACGTGGCCGCGCTCCCCGCAGCTCGCCGCCGCCGTGCACGCGCCCGTGCAGTCCTCGCTGCTGGGCTTCTCCGCCGTGAGCACCTCGCTGCCGCACGGCTACCTCTGGGTGAGCGGGGCCGCGACCGGGCACGCAGAGGGGAAAAACACCCAAAAACCCCCCAAATCCTCACTTTTCCCCCTCTTTTTGCCCGGCTCAGGTCGGCGGGGGCCAGGAGGGCGCCGGTGGCCACGTGGAGATCTTCTCACTGAACCGCGCGGCGCCCCGCACCGTCAAGTTCTTCCCGTTGCCCTCGCCGGTGCTCTGCATGGAGTACATCCCCGAAGCCGCCGGCCCCCGCGAGCAGCCSGCCGGCCCGGCCATCTACCTGGGCTTGCGGGACGGCAGGTGAGCCTTCGCGCCCCCCTCCTCCTCCTCCTCACCGCCTTCCCGTGGGAACCGGGCATGCACGCCGCGCATTTTTCCCACTATATGTATAAAAAGACTTTAAAAATTGAAATATATACATATATTTATGGCGATTTCAACATGTATATTTACGGTGTGTTTGTTTATGGTGTGTTTATTTATGGTTCCCGTGGGAAGCGGGCGTGCGCGGCGCGCATTTGTCCTATTAGACATATAAAAAAAATTCTAAAAAATTGAAATATATATATATTGACGGTGATTTAGAGAGATATATTGATGGCGATTTAAAGATGTGTGTTGATGGCGGTTTAAGGATCGGCATTTAAGGTATGTTTCTGTGTGGTGTGCTGTTTTGCCGGGCAGCATYGTGGCGTACGGCAGCGTGGACGCGGGCACGCAGCGCCTGCTGAGCCGCCGCAGCCCCGGCGCGCAGCCCGTGCTCTGCCTCAAGCACGGCCCCGACTACCTCTTCGCCGGCCTGCAGGACGGCACCGTGGCCGCCTACGCCCGGAATGACGGTGGGGCCGGGATCGTCCGGCGTGCGCCCGCAGTTCCGCYGGGAATGGCCCTTGGGGGTTAATTTAGCCCAAAAACAGAGCATGCTAAAAAGCAAAATCGCTGGGCTAAGCTTCAGCATCCTCATCCAAAGGGGGATTTTCCCGAGCATGCAAAAAAGCCTGGGTTTGGGAAAATGATCCATTTTTTTTCCTCTTTGGGGGAAGAATTGCAATAGGAAGATGCTGTTTTTGGAGGGGAGGAATGCTCAGGGTTTTTTTCCC